AACAACTCATCACATAATTTGGAATTGCTTGAGCTACTACTTTAATAAGAATGTTCTCCCAGCTGAGAAGAGTTTCTACTTCTAGTTTTGAAGGACTGTCCATATGTGTTCCTTTATGTGTTTGAAAATAAAACCTTTATCGCGAGCTATATGGAAGGGGAGTCATAAATACCGCCCCAAGGTAGTTTTCCTTTTAATTTTAATGCTCCATGGATTTATATTTGCATATCAAAATATTGACTTTTCATTATGAGTTGTCGTAAAGTCTTTCTTGTATGTTGTGAGGATCTTCAGGATTGTGCGACAATCCCTGAGTACCTTAATTAGTCAAGGCACGAACCATCTTTTGTAATAGGTGACAAGTTCAAATTTTTACTCCCCTTTAAAATTGTAATATTTTATAAAATTCATCATTTTTATAAACCAAAGGATAGAATTTAACCCTTCATGTTTAACATAAATTTTGCTAATCAATTGGTCCATATTTTAATTTTACATCAAAGAATAAATCTTAATTCATTAATTATATTAATGAGGCAAAAGCTTCATAAGAAAATATCTCATTAAAATGTAGGAAAAATTGTGGCCAACAATAATGTTATTGGAAGGAACCAAAAAATTATTAAAAAGCTTTTATTATACTTTGGTAATTTTTTTTAATGGGTTGGTTGATGACTTTTTAAGTTATGAACCTATCATGTTGTATAAATAGATTAGCTAAATATATGTTTGTCTAAGAGAAAGTCTTTTTTTTTTCAATTTAATTTCTATTATTTAAACTTTTTTAATTTAGTTATTTATGTCTTAACATTTTTTAATTTAGTCCATCACCGTTGGTAAATGTTAAAATTGGTTGATCATAAACTTATTTGACATAATACTGTTGGGTGTGTTGCTCTAAACTTGTGGTTTGTATTTATGTAAAAACAAATTTATATTCAATAAAGTTGTAGTTTCATATTCAAAGTATGAAAAGCTAGATGACTTTGGTTGAGTTTATAACATAGCTTTGTCTAAAACTAAACATTCAAGGTTATTATCATGTAACCGGGACAGTATATATACTGGGATATATTTGATATATCTCCAATATACAAGTGGATAATGTCATGGGAATAACCTAAAGGGTCTATAGTATATGGATAAAACTGGGTACCTTATCTTGGCAACATTATGGACTTTTGCCCGTGAGGGGTCATTTGATCTGTATGAGAGTGGCCTGAGTCGCCGACTTAACATTCCTACCATTTTGGGGATGAGACCGAGTGGGGAGCTAGGAACATAACTTCACAATATGTGATTCACTCCTCCCCGACTTTCTGGGAGTAGATGAGTGTTCTCTTAAATGCTGACTCCGAGACTTGAACAAGGGGCACCACCCTTTCAGTGGTCCGAGAGAGAATTCCGGTTATTGGTCGGACCATAACCGGGTTGTTCATTAGAGGAGCAGTAGTATTTAAGAAGTAAGATGTAACTCAGAGGTAAAACGGTAATTTGACCCAGCTTGAATTACGAGCATTCGTGAAAAATTGACTTGCCATTAATGGTCGTATATCCGTGGACACGAAAATATTCTGCAGTGAGAAGAGTGTAGCTGCGGGTCTTTAGTGGAGCGACCTGTAGTTAACGAATGTTGATCAACTCAGTTAATAAGTTTGACAGATTGATTTCGTATCGTTGGAACTTCTGATTTTTAGGTCCATTAGGTCCCCTTTCTAGCTCACAACGGGTAAACGAGGATTAGGTTTCTTGGAAGAATTTGAAATGTTCAAGTTGCTCGAGAGATTATATATATGTACATTGATACATTATGATATATAGTTAATTCTAAATTAAAACTATATATTATGAGAGAAATTATTTGAATGAGATTTAAATGAAATTAATATGAATATGATTCATAGTAAAGTTATAGGTTAAAAATAATGTGCATAATATACATTACAACTATAGATTATACGAAAAGAAATGCTTCTATGGTTCTATTTTGGTAATAAATAATTAAGTATTAATTATTTATTTGATTAATATATATATATATATATATATTTTTTTTTTTGACTATTAATTATTTATTAATATATATTAATTATATTAATATTTAGTTAATTAGAAACTCCCTGCAAAATTGTAGGGGTGGGGAAGTTTAATGACGAGTTGGTTTTGATGTGGCAGAATAGTTCTGCAAAACCTTCAAGACATTTCCCTCTTCGAATCAATCTCTCTCTGAATTCCTTTTGAGTTTCCAAGGTTGTTGCTCCCACAAGCAAAGATTCTTGCTGGAGACAGAGCAAGAAAGATCATTTGGTGGTGTCAAGTGAGTTTTTTAAAGAACTGTTCATCAAAGGTAATACCCAATTCCCCTTATTTTCCTTTGATTTTGTGGTTTTTGTTCCTAAAAAGTTCAAGAACACGTTTGTCGTTTCTACTGCGGGATTTTTACGTCCCATCAAATACATAGTGAATTGGTGGAAATTTAGAAGAGAAAAAAAAAGTTAACTCAAATTTTATCTTAGAAATTTGAAGGAAGTATTAGAAATTCTCTATTAGATGACTTTTTCTTCATCTTAGATTTGACTAATTAACTAAATATTACGACAAATATGAACATAACTCAGCAGTAATTGGTACCTAATTAGTGTGGAAGACCACAAACAGCACTCTTAGCCTTTGCATGATTTTTATGGAAAGTCCTTTGTTTAAAAAAATATATAAATTTTGTACTAAAATATATATATATATATAAATTTATTAATAACAAATTTAATATTTACTAATAGTGAGAAATAAATAAATAAATAAATCTTAAAACATAAAAGAGACTAAATTATTAAACAAAAAGATTGAATTAACACCTCAATATTAATGAATTACTTTATATTAATGCAATTTTCGAATGTAATAAAACTTTATGAACAATAAAAAAGAAAAAGGAAAAAAATTTCCGTAGCAAGTACATTATCTAGATCTGGTCGTACCGTAAGGCCGAAACTCGTGGCCCGCCGTTTGGACGGCCGTCACCATATTCCGTCCAATTTAACAGCTGTACGGCAATTTGCCGTCTTCCTATTGGTCCGTCGGCTATTTTAACATTAATATATATATATTAGGAAATAATTAATATTATATTAATGATTATTCCTCAAAAAAAATTATATTAATGATTCATTCGGACGAAAAAAACTTTTACAAATATTGAAATATTTTTTTTTATATATACTTTTTAAACTTAGTTCATTAATCCTGTTTCGTGTAATTTCAAAATGTCTATTTTAATTTTATATTTTTTAATTTTGTTTATTTTAGATTCTAAATTTTCTCTATTTGATATCTGTACTATAAAAATAGTTATTTTTTTCATTTGTTTTTATTTTTATTTCACTGATTAAGCTTTTTGAAATATATCTACAAATTAAACTTTCATGGTATATAAAATTATTTGAATACGAATTAAAATAATCATTTTTCAAACTTATAAAAATAAAAAACCAACCTTTTAAAAATACACAGATTAGGTAAACAAAATTTGAGAGTACAGTTTACAAATAGTGTTTAAACAAAATAAATAAAAAAGGTCCCAAATTCCAAAGTCGGTGCGGATTATTATACCGTAATGACTCAAATACCCGTGAAAAGCAGAACCTCTTTGCCTAGTTGGATGCTCCCAGCGAATCACGCGCTGTTTAAGGATTGTAAAGGGAGGGGTAGTTTCGTAATATCGGCAAATCAATGGAACTCACTTTACCACGTCGCCACTTCGAGACAGTGCCGATTATTACTGGTCCGTGACCGCGGGTGGGACACGTGGAGAGCAACGGTAGCGAGTATGGGAAAAAGAAGTGAGTGAAGAGAGTGGGAAATGATTGGAGATATTTGGCGGATCAAAAATATCTGGCTAAGTCGTCCACGTCGGCAGCGAAATGGGCCGATCTGGAAACGGATATTGCACTTTTTATGCTCTTTCCCATCAATAAATAAAATTAAAAATCGAGTGGGAAAATTTAATAATACTATTTTCTCTCTCTTTTTCTCGTCTCCCAAACACTACAGTTCCGAATCTCTCGAAGAAAAATATCCAACCAATTGATTTCTTCTTCTTCTTCTTCTTCTTCTTCTTTCTTCGTTTTTCCTCCTCAATTTTCTCGACTGCGATCGCAATCGGAGCTGGCTCAGATTCGTGACCCTAACCCTCGGAGATT